CATAAATGCGCTTTTTGACAGCAAAAACAGCTGCAATGGATTAGTGTCGGGTTGTGGGTCCTCGCGGCCTGTGCTGGCCGCTCGACGAGCAGGGTGGGGCGGATGGAGCCGGGGGCGGGGTTAGGGGGCCAGGGGCCAGGCCCTGCGTACCCCAAAAATGGCCAAAACCGCCCAGGAGGCCCCTTGGGGGCCCCTGGGGGTACCCCCCCAGACCCCCAGAAAAGACCAAAAAGACACCAACCGTCGTGCATTTGGGGTCCATATCTTAATTGCCTGACGGCAAGAAGTCAATAGCGGGGCAGCGTCACTACAGTCCTCGTCTACCGTGAGGCTTTACCCTCCCTCACCGTTCTGACGGGACGCTCGGCCGGGGGCCTCGGTCACAGCCTCGAGCGCCCATGTAAATGGTCAGCTGCGCTCTCGGCAGTTTAGGGTCTAGGGTTTAGGGTTGAGGGTCTCTGGTTGGGCTTAGTCAGTGCTTGGGTGGGTTTTGGTCTTGACGGCTTGTTGGTTCGAGCTTCGAGTTCCGAATTGAACGAAGCTTCGGATATGGGAGGTTCCGAAAATTAGGGTACCTTTTTTTGGGGGGTTCTTATAATAGGGATCCGATTATGTAGGGTACTATATTAGGGTCCCCTATTTTCGGAAACCCCCATATCTTTCAAGCAACTGCAAAACGTGCCAACGCCAGATCAAGAAGAGCGGCGACGCCCGGAACAACTGCACTTATGACAGAAACCCAGCTTCCTAAACCCTAAACCCGATATTATCCTAAAGCCCTACGCCCCATATCCCAAACCTTAACTTATATAACTATAAGCCTTAAAGCCTATATCGCAAACCCAAGCCCCTGAACCATTCAGACAAGCGCGGCAGTTGGGCCACTGAGCTGTACAGCGCTCTGGGGTACACACCTTGGCTTAGGGTTTCTGTTGAAGTCTCAGTGTGCCGGGTCTAGGGTTGAGGGTGTAGGGTTTACTTGGACCCCAAAGAACCTACCTTTTTAGGGCTCCTTATTCTGATTTCTTTATATAAGTCCTTAAAAAGGTAGGTTATTTGGGGTTAAGGTAGGGTTTATAGGGCTTAGGGTTTCCGCTTCAGTCTTCCGGATTTAAAGTTAAGGGTGCAGGGGGGTTTGAACCCGACAAAGCCCAAAACCCTCAACCTTGAAGCCAGAACCCTTCAACCTTGAACCGTGAACCTAAACCCATAACCCTAGACCCGGAAAGTGCTTGGCATCCTCTCGGGGAGTTGAACCGACAGTCTCAAACGGCAATCCTTAACCCTCTAAAACCCTCGAGTAAACCCTATAGAATCCTAGTCTAAACATTCAAGGCCGGTGCAACACAAACCCTCTACACCTATACCACGTCCCTTATAAAGCCCTGCTAGAACCCGAACAAGCCCTATTCTAAACAATTACAGCCTGAAGAGAGGAACCACGCTTGGCCCGGCGCTGTTGCGCCAGGGCGGCGCACAGTGATTAGCCGGTCGCCACCTGGCGGAGAGGGCGTAAAGCCATCTAGAACCCTCCAACACAGGGAAGCAATTGTCCCCGCGCTTCCCTCCAAACCCGAAGCCCTGGACCAAAAACCCTAAACTCTAAACCCTCCAACACAAAACTCTAAACCCTAGAATGTTCTAGCTCCTAAACCCTAAGCCCTATACAACCCCTCAAGACAGGGAAGTGAGGCATGTCCCAGCTACTCGCCGAGGCATCTCTAGCCAAACTCACCTGCGAGTTGTAGGAGAACCTGGGAGGTTTGGGGTTTGGTGTTTGGGGTTTAGGGCTTCGGAGGGGTTTGGGGGTTTGGGGTTTAGGGTTTATTGGGGTTTAGGGTTTAGGGTTTAGGGAGGGGGTTTAGTGGGGTTTAGGGATTAGGAGGGCTTGGGGCTTAGGGGTGGGGTTGAGGGTGTAGGTTTTAGGAAGTTCAAGGCTCATAAGCCAATGCAGTTTAGGGTTTAGGGTTTAGGGTTTAGGGTTTAGTGTTTAGTCATAAGCCATGGTCTCTATTCGGAGGTTCGGGGGCTAAGGGCAAAGGGGTGCGGTATAGTATAGGTTCACAAGGGTTCCACGACTCGTTATACATGGGCTCTGTAGTATGAGGTTTTTTAGCAGGGTTCTACAAGTGAGGGTGCGTGAAAACACCCCACCCATCTGCTCGACCCTTAACATGGTTAGCGTTTGATCTTACTCTTGTCGTTTTACAGGACTATGGGACTGTATGATCTGAGCTAATGTTACGAATATTCGTTATCGTGTTTTACTCTTACCCTTAGCATCAACATAGCCCACAAGCCTTATATGATAGGGTATTTGGGCCCAAAAGCCATAACATATGAGTCCTTTGAGGGTAAGCGTTATCGTTTTTACAAGGAACTCGATTGCTCTCAAAGTACGGACGACTCTACTTCAACAAATGCTCTCGGTGGGTTTGTACCATCCCTCAGGTGTTGAGTTTAGAAGATGTGTTGAGGTTCTTAAAGGGGTTATCTAGAGTTCTACAAGGGTTGTACAGGAGTCTCGGATTTACGGTTCGGCGTACTTGTTAGTTTGGACCCTTGGGACTATGCAGTGAAGGTAAGTTGGTAGAGGTCAGAGAGGAAAAACGCATAGGCGAGGTGTCTGATATAGTCACTAGAATGGGAGTAATTCAGGGGGATACCACAGCACAACCAAGACCAGGAACCCTCAGGAATAATATTGCGAGTAAACCCAGGATAAGGAATCGAGGCTGAGGTGAAGTGCTCCGGGAGCACGTGCTTGAGTCTTGGGATAGCTGCAACGACAACACTCTCCCTGTTGGGATACGGTTTTGGGTTTAGGAGCTCGGTACTTAGCCAGCGGATTTGAAACACGGAATTTAAAAAAACATGCATGGCCATGGCAAATTGCATTCTGTCGAGTCGGAATCTTGGGTACAGTTTCAGCGACAAAGAACACCCTTGACCACCCGATCCGCTAGGTGAGATATGGATCGCGCCGTCCTGAATGAACGCCCTGGCATATCTCGAGGTATATACGAGCTAGATGATTAAGCTATTACTGTACTGTACTATTGCCCAACCATAAATTAAGGATAAATTTACTGCAAATTATTCAAACCCCTATGGTAAGTTTCTGCGAGCACATGAGAAGTCTTGAAGACATCCTAACATCTTTAAGATCCGATAGTGGAATCGTAAGAACACGTAATCCCGAGCCCACGAAACACAACCTTCAAAAATCTGAAAGCAGTGGAAGCACCATTCCTCTATAATGCCAAGTCCTAATCTCTTTGTTGAAGCCTTTTCTTGGCTCTCCCAAAGGGTCCAAGTACTACTATAGTATATACTTTTGGGGCCCAAATACCTACTAAGTACCTACTATAGTGGTACTTGGACCCTTTGGCTCTTAGTACCCTTGAGGCATCGGCTTCGTCCCAGCATCAGTCAGGCGCCAAACCTGACATCGCAGCCCCTCCAGAAGGGTAGTTCTCCAAATGGGGGTTTCCGAAATAGGCGACCCTAATATAGTACCCTAAAATAGGAGGATCCCTATTATCCGCCGACCCCGCTGGGGCG